ACGAAGCCGGAGAACGAACGATTTCGTTCGTTACGCGTTCCAATCCCTCGTCGATTGCCTATGGAGCTCTAGTTCTCGACTCTGTCCGTATAATCTAGACGTTGCTCCCTCTCCGATTTCCATTTCTAGTAGACGATCCAACGGGAGATCGGAGCGAAAGTTGAGAATCGAAGAACGAAGCATCTCGATCTTAATCCAACAGAGATCTTTCGATAGGTAGTCTAACTTCGAACAGAAAAATGTAAGAAATTCTTGGAATTTTTTCAGCGACTTCATAGAGAGAGAGATTGTGTAATTACTCTGCATGAATTTTCCCAGTGTTGAAATGGAAAATGTCAGTGGTGGTTAATGAGTGACATTTTATTGTCAAGATCGATCAACGCGACGGAGTGTGACGTTGATACATCGCGTAACTTCGCTTAACGATTATAAACGAGCAGCGAGAAGGTAGCAAACGCGTGTCAGAGGAACAAGATTCGTTTCGAAAAGTGTGCACGTTTAATTAGCCGAAAGGTATTTCCCCATTAGCTCGACGATTTAAATTGGTATACGTGTCACTATAAATGGAACTACGGGATAGGAGTTTATTTGTTCGCTGTGGGAAACGAACGAGCCAGGATATCAGCAGGTGCTTAACCCCCTTGTGCACTCCCTCTGGCTCTTCTGGGAGAGTGCAAACGTTTATTCGTTTATCAGGAAAATCAGTAATTACGTTACGTTTCCTCGATGGAACGATTCGAGGGCAACAACGAGAGGGAGCTGAAGGAGGTGGAGAAGCATGGTTGGCTCGCGGCAACCATTCTTCGCGGCATCTCTTATTAAATCTCGGCATGAAATTATTATTAAGCGTGCACTATCGTGGCGCCGACGATCCTTCCAGGCCGCACATGCTTCGTCCAACGTCTAGGCAAAATATTATCCAACTTGCGCTTGGCTCTCTCTTCTCTAGGCAGCGTCGAATGCTCTCTTCAATTCAGATTAATCCACCCCTTCCTCTCTCCCTTGCATCCCCTTTTCGCTCTGTAGCGTATAAATCCTATACACCGGTCCGTTTTCATTTTCCACGATGCGATTAACCGTGCACAAACTTTCGCACCCTCGATGCATCTTTTATGATGCACTCGGATCTTTCTTGTGCAGTAGCGATCGGGAGCTTGATTCTGCTGGATACGCTCGACCCATTTTACGAACGTGTGTGAAATATATTCTTTTTTCTTTTTTTTTTTTTTTTTTTTGAGAGAGGCGTGTAGAAATAAGTTTCCGACTGGATTCGCATAATTGATTGAAAGCCATCGAGTGTCTATCGCGATGGTATTCGCAAGCTGCCAGGAAAATAGCAAAACCTTGTCAAAAACAACGCTCTGATCTGTTTTCGTTCTTTTTAAATCAAATTTTGATCGCACCCGAAAGTCCCCCCGAAGCACCCAGTAATTTACACTTTTGCTGTAAATAGAAAAGATAGCGCAATATAGAAAATAATGAAACAAAATTGCACTTTTTCGAGGATTACCTGTACGCGTGTGTCACACGAGCATCAAAGGGTTAAAGATTGTAGAACAGTTCTTTCATAGAAACCTCGTTAGTTTCTCTTGGCCGCATGTGTCACGTTCGCGATACAACTAAAAGATCAGTTTTGTCGAACATTATAATTAGAAAGCAGCGAATGGTCGGTATATAATTATATCTACCAAGTGTTCCACTTACTTTCCAGCAGTTTACTTTCGTCATAGCGAGCAGCGTTCGAGCAATATCTGTAATGTAGCTTATGCAACAGGGCAGAGTAGCAAGAATAGACGACGAGCAACATTTGCTGTGTTCCAAATTCGAATTGACGTATTATTCGAAGCTCTGTCGGGCGAAATTCGGACGGTTTTCAATTAAGATTCTGCACGTTGCGGGGATAATAAGTAACGAAACCCTTGGTCCTGGGGGCGGGAGGGGGAAGGTCGATTAGTCTGGGAAAATCGTTTTCGATGGGATCGTTGAGAGAGGTAACGCGGTGGCTCGTCGTCGTCCCGAAGATATTGATTTCGGCCGCGATTCACCAGTGAGAGGAGGCACACTGCTCCACAAACCTGGAGGCGAGTGTTGGTGGGACAAATCCCCCGGGGTGGCTAGAAGGGGGAAAACGTGAGAAATCGCGAGTGAGGGGAGCCAGCGCGAGCTTATCTGCTATCTTGTCGGTTATTGAAAATCGGCCTCGCTCGTCTCTTGTAGCCCGAGAGAGAGAGAGAGAGAGATGGGGGAACAAAGTGTCGCCTTGAGTCGGACTTGAAACGGAGGGGCACAACTCGCGAACACCAGACTACTGGGGTGCGATAAAAAAGAAGGGCAAGAGGGGATAATTCTGATGAACAATCAGGAAATTACATCGAGTTTCGTCTTTCTATCTGATCTAGAGTAATTCTTGTTTCTTCTAGATTGATTTTTTGCTGTTGGCTGTTATCGAGAATTGGGTTGCTCGTTTGTTAATTTAGTTTCGGGGAAAGGGAAGGAATTGGATTGGAGTAGCTTGAGTAGGTTGAGAGATCGATGAGATTGGATAGCATATTGGAGTATGATAAAGACGAGGAAGAAAAAGGGAGTAGTTTTCTAAGCTTCTACACCGGTATCTTTTTATTCCGGTCAAATCATAGCCATCATCCTCTCACCAACCAAAAACACTCCATCTTCGTTCATTCGTTGACACATTAAGAGCGATGATGCTGAAGAGATGCAACACAGTTCACTAATTCCTCAGTCGACCAACATAAACCGAAAGCAACACTCTACTTGGTTTAACTCGCAAATCACAGATCTCCCAAGAAACCCAACAATAATAATGTTAATGAAGAAAGGGGTGAAAGATGTGAGATGATCTCGGTACCAAAAAAATTTGAATAACCCCGAAGAAAGCCAATAATAATAATAATAACGAAGAAAAGAGTGAAAGATGCGAGACGATCCGAGTACCAAAAGAAGTAGGATAACCCCGAAGCAAGAACGAAGGAAGGACACCGGTATTAGACGGTCCCGAATCGAAACCTCCTAATCGTCGTCCCCGCCGATCGATTTTCGCTGATGGGTTCGGCAATCGGCCAGTCAAGGTGGCCGTCTGCCATCAGAAACTCTTCAGCGGAGGAGTAAGAGCGGCGTGGGTGGAGGGAGACAGCGAGCGGATGATTTACTTGGTCTATTGTGCAGGGCAGGACTAAAACATTCGCAGCTCCAGCGCGGTATCTCAATTATAAAGAGGGGTATCTAGCTTGCGCGCCTCTTTCTCGCCTATAATTATCCCGACCTCGCCGTGTATCTCGGGGGAAGTCGAGGAACTTTGGAACCTATCGCAATAAACAGCGGTTATGAAAAGGCGTTCGACTCTCGCGACGCGAGACGATACAGAGAGAAAGAGAGAGAGGAGAGGTGAAAAAGGAAGGCTGAGTTGTAGTGCACACACGCCTCTCTAAATTTTGCTTATCAGAAGCCTGGAACTGCCTAAGGGTGGCGAGATACCTCCGTTGGGGAACGATCACTGCTGGCGTAAATCATGCGAAAAAGTTTGCCCATGATGGAATTCTTGCACGGTGGATCGGGAACAACCTCTTCTCCACTGTTGCGAAAGGCTGAAAGATACTTAACACAGTTCCCTTCGGAGAAACACACTCTCTCGTATTCTCTCTCGACGCGAAGCTTCGTCTAATTTCAAGTGGTGGCGGGATCATCGAGAAATTCGTAGTACACCGAGACTCTGATCAAATTTCAAAGCATCCGCTGATAGAGTTAACATAGGACCCCCTAAGTATACCGTCTTACCGAAATTCCTCGGGCAAATCAGAAACGAGGAGGAAAAGAAAATCGAGCAAGATAGAAGAGATGGAACGACGTACACCTGGAGAGAAAGAGAAGAGTGTACCTTTTTGGCACACACGCTCGAGAGCGAAATTTTGTCACCAGCTGAGAACTAGTCTAACAGTAAATCAGGAAAGGCGTGAACGGAACGGACAGGTCGGACAACCGTTACCATCGTTCATTCGATATCTAAGAGGACCAGAAACAGCCGGCCTCTCTACGCGTTCCCTTCCAACATCCTCTAAAAGCACACGCCCCCAGTCTGTGTGTGAAGGTTTTCGACCAAGCTACCAACCTCTCGAAACCATTCTCGAGTTTACCGGTCAGGTGTATGGCGCATAAACAAGCCTCCTGGTGCAACAGTTCCTATTGAAAGAGAATACAGTGGACACAGAGGATTTAGATGTCCGCGAGCACTTTAGCCCCCCGAGACTGGAATCTCTGACAGACGCAAAAAGTGAGAGCATTTTCCATACGGTGACCGTGTGTGGGCGGCACAATTGGCCGTAGAACCAAGGGGACAATTATCTGTCCAGCTTCCCTAGACAATGGTAGCCACTCGGAGAGCGTTATCGTGGGCTGGTCGCGTTACTTACGACGCGTCCAATCCCTTTGTAATTTCTGGAAGCTCGTAAACTTGCAACGTTGTCTGTTTTTTCTTTACCTTGTCTCTTACACCGCTTACACGGTGCACACACACATACACACAAGCAGAGAAATAGGTTCTTTACTATTGGCGAGAAACCCGAACAGAGGTTTACGACCGCGTTCGAACGGTGCCAATATCTGTGTACCAATAGCGAAAACAATGTATAGTTGGACGATACTGTTTGGTCGAGTTGTTTCCAAGTGGAAACCAGATAACTGGGGGACTGAACTAATGGTACCTATCGAGGATAGGACAGCGTATGACTAATCTCGGTGTTGCGGAGAGGAATCTATCGTCGAAAGTCGAAAGTGGAAAATCAAATTCTCGCGATAAGGTGCGTCTTACACGTTTGAGGAAGATTTGACGGGACAGGGTCGAAGGAAGGGAAAATTCCTTTTCTTTTGAACTGCTCTGCCGACGCTTTTCGTTGTTGGATGCTGTGCGAGGAGTATGCGTGTGGAGAAAGAAGAGAGGAGAAGAGGTTCGTATCGAAAGTATCATCGGTATGCTCGTGTTGCAGGTAACAACTGTGCCGGACGAGGGCGAGAACAGCTTCAAGATGCCCAGGGCTTCCGTGGTACACATGACTTCAACGGCGACCAGGCCGCAGCACATGTCACAGGTACAGATCAATCTCTTCTTTCAATTAATTCATTTGCAAGCCGATTCGTAAATCTTCCGAGCTAGTCGGAAGTCTTGGAGACAATTTCGGTTAGCGGTATGCACGATAACGCGAAGCTATAGTAGAGACCGAATATATTGGCTGGTCAAGGTCACTATTTTTCTCCGTCATTTTTTGGGTTTGGCTCTGAACAGTCGCCTTGTGGAATCTTTTCGTTACGTTTTTAATCGACGTTTGCCATGATCTCGTAAAATTTAAGATATAGAGAGAATACTGTCAGAAACAGATAGGTGAAAGAAGAGTATTCTCATAAAAGGAAGAAAGTATATCATCGCTAGACGTAAGACAAAAATATGCACCCTTGTGCCTATAATGTTGAGCTGCAGAAATGAAAAAATGGCATAGGAGGAATGGCCTTGAGCGGCCGATATAATCTGGCTCCTACTATAGCCAGTATTTAGCCAGGTATAGTCAGCGGTCGTAAATCAAAGCATTTTTGCATAATTAAAGTTGACACTGATCGATACTGTTGCACAATCCACCTGATCGATACAGCCTATACATTACTCTTTAAATTTGTCACGGTTGTTCTATCCTTTGAAACATGCTATCAGCTGTCCCATCTTCCTCTCTTCACCGTTACATCCGCAATTACGCGAATTTACACGAAGATTACGTCGTGGTAGAACGAAAAGAGTGTTTCTGTTTTATCTACTTGTAACGGTGGTGGAACAAGCTTGCCAAAAAGCGGCAGGAAATCCTGTGCAAGCGTAATTATTAGGCGAGCCAGGCGGACCTTATCGCGTGGCCATTTCGCCGATTTACAACTCACAGCGGCGTGTACTCGAATAATCCGAATCCAGGGAGAGCGGAGGGAATCCTTCCTTCTTGGCATACCTCCATATTGATATGCAAATACAGAAGATAGCTTAGAGTTTAATTGAGTGGTCCGGCTTAAAGTGCATATCGAGCAGCACAGTCTTTACTTGCACTTATATGCACTTCGATATAACAGCCCCAGACTGACCAGCCATTTTCATAATACCGCCACTCTAAAGACTTTCAAAGCTCTTTTTCCCTCTTCATCCCCCCCTTTCTCTCTCTCTCTCTCTCTTTCGCTCTCTGCATCGTCGTTCTCCTTTCGTTGAAGTAGCAGCCGCGGCTAACAGCTTTAAGCTAATGGCTTCCTCGGTTAACTTCGGCCTAACTCGAGGCACATCCTTCGGCCACGCAAACGAGCTTTTAACGTCGAGCCAGAAGAAACGCACCGGCGGGGGAAAGCTGCGCATATGGCCGGGGAAATTCGTGATGCCGCTCGAAGTTACCCGGAGAGGGAAAACGAACGAGGGAGGTTTCTGCAGCGAACGGAGAACGCTCTTGCGAGCGGCAATTTGGCTCGGTTTCCGTTGTTGGTTACGATCGCGGTCGCGAAGTTTTATGGAATGTTGGACTTAGGCCGCGATGTTCCTCGATATTTCTACCCTTTTGCTCGGTCAGAATTCTGAAGGTAGACACCGTGACAAATTCTCATCCTCTCTCATCCACGATGACTAACAATTGCTCAAAAGAAAATTTTCATTATATTATCTTTTTTTTTTCATTCAAAATAATATGAATAAACATTCGAGGCCCTCTGATCACTAATGACCTCCGTGGCCCCGAAACAATCTCTGATCACGGGTGACCAACGTCCCAATCAACGTGTAAATCTCGAATATGAATCTTTCGTCGACATTTATTCGCGCAGATCTCCAAACTACCCTCGCAAATCAACTTTCCCTGATAGATTCGCCAATTTCCCGAGCAAGCCTATCGAAATCCTCGACGACGCGACACGAGACAAGACACGGAATTGGTCGAATCGATTGGCCAGATAATCGCAACGGTCGGTCAGTGCTAAAGCGATTTCCATTAGGCTGCATCTTGCAGCGATCAACGACAAGCCGATATTGCGGGAGAGAGAGAGAGAGAGAGAGAGCTGTTATGCTCGTTCGCGTAACGCCATTTTATTATCGCACACTCGAGCCTCTAACGGCGCCATCAATATTTGCATAGCAGAACAAACCGAACGCACTTGCGCGAGCGATACAAATCCATTTATCCATCTCGCTCCCACTTCTGTACCACGGTGTATCCTCGAACCAGCGTAGAATTAGATTTCAGGATTATCGAATGCAGGTCGTGCATCAAAATGGAATCGCGACTCGTACGCAGCAACGCTTGAACCCGGTTGCTGTGGAAATCACCGGGATCCGTTCCCGCTGTTTCTAACTTTGACGTTATCCATTATACACCAATTAGTCGATGCGAAGATAATCGCATCCGGCATGGTAACTACGTATCCGTGTTATTGGATTTCGAGCAGATACCGCCTCGTTACACCTACTCTATGCCTCTTGCACAGCTTTTCGTTTTCGATTGTTCGATAAGCAGGTTTCTATAATTCTCGGTTACTCGGGCATTGGTCAACTGGGTGGAGACAACTTTTGCGGTAACCCTTTGACCGCTATCGGTGATTACAGACACTGATAAGGATTGCGTAGCGGGTTTCCTGGGGATTTTGAGGAAATTTCGAGGGAAAACGGAGAATGGTAGAAATTTGCCAATTTTGGACCCGGCTGGTCATGATTCTATAGGTTTCGAAGAATTCCAAATGCATACTTATTCACCCTGGAGATGATGGGAAAGTTATAAAAAAAATAAGCATGAACTCGTCGTTAGTAAACCTCGTCAGGTTAATTATCACTATCTTCTTCGCTCGTTAACAAAATAATTATTCGAGAAATCAGCTAGATTGATGTGAAACTGCTGTAAAGAGTAGAATTTTTCATTCCAACGAGCAATCTTTGTGAATAATTGAAATTTAATCTGCAGAACCGTGAGAGTTTAAGTAATATTCAAGAATCCACAGTGCATGGACGTTTATTTCGCGAGTGTAGGAATTTCGATTTCACTATTATTTTAATTGATAAAAAGTCGCAAAGCGGAAATCGAACGCTGTAAAGTCTGTAAATATAAAAACTAAGACTATTGAGCGAACAAGTGATTTGGCTAACGTCATACGTAGCGATAATTGAACACTCTCGAACAGGTTTTAATAGTGTCTATTAATTCTATAACTCGGCCGCACACAGCGAACGCTTTACTTTCGAGTGGCCAGCAGTCGAAGGGTTAATAGCATGACTCGCATCAGGTCGTCTGGAAAGGTTCGTTTCGAGAGTACGCTTCTCCAATAATTTTGATGCACCTTCGTGATAACGACAGAGAAAGGGTTAAATATATGTTCCCCAAGGGTTCGATCATGCGAGCCCAAAACTTTAGATCCACTGTGCATCGAAGGTTGCAAGAAAATTTCCAAAAACAAGGTACCAGTATTAATCGAAATAAAGTAAATTGCTACTTATCTCCACGTCAATTTCAATAGCGCATTCATCAGCAGGTGATTCGAAACTTTTGGAGTCTCCAAGTCAATTCTTTTGACAAATCACTGTCAACTATACCAAAACACACAAATTGCGTTATGTCGCGATAACTGTCACAAGTACAGACATTAAGAACGGACATGTTAATCAGCAGCAACTTCTAATTTCCCGACTGACAGCTGTCGAGCAGGTAGCTGATAAAAGAAGCCCACCGAGCTAAAGAGTTGGATCTAGCTCCAGTTGACGTTACTCGCGTATTTATCGAACTATTGTTAGAGAGATACACGTCTGTCCGTTTGACAGACACGTCCAACGTGCTGTGACTATAAACGGTCCGCGAACCGTCGAGCCTGTTCCACTGAAAGTCACCGTCAAAAGGGTTAACGCGTTCAGGCTGGGTCACCAGTTGGACGCAATACTCGCGACCAGAACCATCGGTGGTTTGCAACAGCATCGCGCTGTCAGATGGCGTAAACCACCGGTGACTCATGCCGTTGCTTCTCCTTTATGCTGATGCTCGATTTCGTGGCCGTGTAATTGCGCGAAACGCTACATTTCTCCCGGCTGTTTCATCAAAGTACCCACTCCGTTCTCGTTTCAGACCAGTTTGTGCTATCTATAGCAATTTTTTGACACCCAGTGGCCGTTTCCTTTCGAACACGAATGAACGAAGCTCTCTAGGAATTTCCTAGATGCTTGAATTCTTTTCTTATTAACCCTTTGCGGTCCTGTGCCGACATTATACCGAAAGTTCGTATTTCGTAAGCAATATTACGTTGAAATGGTACTGATCAAGAGTGACCTAACGAGTGAGGATTAACTGGACTATTTGGACCGCGAAGGGTTAAATAATGCATAATCGAAAATACTCTTCTTCCGAGTTGAAACAGTGTATATTTCATATGTAGTTTCGAGGGCATTTGTGACCCCTTTAGAATGGCTCATCGCAGATAAGAAGAGTAACTGAAGGAACATTATTTCGAGAACTATGCGCGGCATAAATTTCGTTAAAATCAGAGTGTCACAGTTTGACACTCTTCTCCGCTAATATATCCAGTTGGCACAGAAATTTGTCACCTGCCTGGCCAATTTGTCAAATTTTCAGCGTCCCCGAAGCTATAATTCGACTCTACAATAAAAATATTCCTCGACAACAACACAGCAGTCCTATCAATCTCCGCGAGCTCGACAGATCAGTCCCAACGGCGAATTAATCCTCGCATTTCAAACGCACTCTTGACGAGACACTTTTCGCGTGATCAACCTTGCCCGAGAAAAGAAAAATCCGAACGTCGAACTGTCTGTTCGATCTGGAAATTGCGATTACGCGCGTGACTGTCAAGCGAGTCAACGGCTGGAAGATCAATTGCTTAATCAGGATCACGAGCGAGTAGCATTGTAATTTTCGATCTAGATAGAAAAAGGGAGGCTTTTGAAAGCGTGGTTCGCGCGACCCACGCGTTTATTGTTCACTGTGGGATCGACACACGTCTCTCCTCCGTATCGCGTGGCGATACGATAATTCTCTTGGCCGGAAAGGTTGGCACAGAGTCGCGGTTAATGGCCCGTAATACGGCT